TTGTTTGAGTGCATACATATACTAACAATAGCTTTTTTTATATAATTGAAAATCGATAAAATCTAGAGGATAGAATATATATGAATACACGAGTACAGTATTCACATGTCAAAGAGTGTTATGGAATATGTACGTTGTTCACTGGTGAAAAGTATAGTGTTCGTATTTTGATCAACAAATAAAAATTTATTTGTTCTCGTTGTTGACTTGAAGTTTGAAAAACATAGATTTCTATCATTGACATTCAAGAATGAAGTTTGTAGATTTTGACTTTCACCATTCCATATATATAATGTTTAACGTTATCCAAAAAGTTAGTCTGCCCTTTTTTGACCAATGTATTGTACTTCACCAGGACAAGATGGAGGCAAAACTTTTGAACGATATTTGGTGGACTATCATCACTAGATCACTTGCTGGATTTTCAAGGAATGACGGCAAATATTCACAGTATGCTAGATTACAGGAACGTTTGTATCAGGATGCCGGGCCTCACATTCTGAAGTGAAGATCACAGATTTTATTGGTGACTGACTTCATACAGAACGAGGCAGTAGGAGATAGATCGATTGACCTTCGCTCTAGACACTATTTTTCACAAGGGACAGTCGACGAGTGGTGGAGGTTGCAATGAATATATCAGAACTCTGTACAGCATGAAGGTAAAGATCGTGACACTCAATTCGTGTGGAAAGACCCCAAGATGATCACGGGTCGGAGCCGCGGATCGAGAAGTCCATAGTACTCCTACATATCTAGGGGAGGATTTTCTGTGGCAAGTTTTTATTCGTGAAGACGAGAGAGCAATGAACGTAAAATATTCGACCTGCTGGAGGCAGGATGGAGTGTGCTTTGATCACGTAGGCGCAAGGTAAACATTCGGGAAGACGAAAATGAAGTGGAATTCAGGTTGATTCAACATTTCCCCGGATAGGGTTGGAACAGTAAAGGCAGCAGCAGCAGTCAAGGAAAGTCCTTGTTCGTCTTACGAGAAGGACGTCCACTGGACGGGAAGCGGATGGAGGGGGCCGGTGCTCGTCGCCTCGGGTTTGTCTTCTTCAACGGGACGGAGGCACCTCGTTCGCTCTCGTCCCATCTCCTGACTGTATTCTGTCGGGAATGTTGTCGGGCCCCGACGCCACCTCCGCAATATTAATTTCGGCCTCTGAGCGGCGCGCGCGACGGCTCCCATATTCCCACTATTGGTAGCCTTGCTCTCGCCTCCTCTTCATTCCATTCGAACGGCATGACGCATCTTGTGGGCCCGACTCTACAGGACTCGTCGCGTTCCGTTCCGTCCCTCTCCGGCGTAGCTAGAGTACGATCCCATGGACCGCCCGCCGGAGCTCTCCCACGAGTCCACGTCCCTCCCTTGGCACCCTCCCTCGACGCCTCCTCGGTCCGTCCCGTCCCGTCCCGCCGGCAGGCAGGCAGGCAGGCAGGCAGCAGCACTAGGATGGGTCGTTAAGTGCGGACTTAAAGCCGTTATTAAATATCCATAACACTTTGACTTCGATTCAGGCAGTCTTCTGCCCAAGGACTTATAGCATTATCCTTTGGCAGATAATAGGGCTTCGTGGCAAAGTTAATCTCGATGGAAATGTTAATTACGTTCGAACATTCATCAGACAAAGCCGCCACCACGTCTGACACTTCGGGAGCATGACTTGAATGTGACCCCATTGTTTATTATTATTATTAATATTATTATTATTATCATCGTTGTGCCCTAAGGATGGATTAGGCCGACGACTCTCGGCCCTCTCAGCGGTCGGCCTCGTATGATCGAAATGGCTGTAACTCTATCGCTCCCATGAAGCCTTTGTTTTTTTAAGCACGAGAGAAATCTGATTTGCCCCTTTTATTATCTCACTGCGCATGATTAATTAGCATTTTATGCCAATTCAGGCCAACATCAAGTCCCCTCTCATGCCTCTTCTGAAATCTGGGCTCGAGGAAACCGCCTGCTCCCCCTTGCTTTCTCACCTCACATCACCTCAACTGTGAGCAGAAGAGCATTAGGCAAGGCTGGCGGGCTGTCCCTCGGGCTCAAACCCTTTGATTCGATTCGATTAGGTTGAGTTGAACAGGGGAGGAGGACCGATTTTCTGTAGTCTCTCGCCATATGTCGAACCGGTTCTGTCGCGATATCGAAGCGAGTACGCTGTTGGCGAGGGCTGGAACCCTAATATCTGAGCAGTTGAACGGACTCTGTGCTGCAGGACATGAATGATTCTTCCGAACTGAAAGAAAACCCTCATTGCACCAGGAAACATAATGTTTTGTTGATTCCTGTTTACAGGCTTCAAGGTACCGAATGCTTAAAGAAGTCGGGAGCGAAGAGGGAATGAGGCCCTATCGATGTGTTTAGCCATTTGACATTGAAGATGAGAGAGATTTGCTCGGACCATCAAACGTAAATTGCTTGATGAGATCCATCAAGTTTCAAATTACATGATGGGACTCCACGGAACAGTCCACTTCACCGTCAAATCGTCTACTTGAAAACTCACCGTTGTTCCAAGAATGAATTTGTACGCAACAATTCATGTGTGTAGAACTTTTCATTATGCTAGTTTGATGCTATAGATCTATTGGAGCAGAAATTTGATGATTTGATTAAAGAAATCACGATTACTGGATGTGGAAGGTGTACTGCATTCCACTGTCTCTCACTGTTTCCATATCAAAAGGGATTTCTCCGTTTCAGTGTGCTTGTGCAGATTGATTTTGGAATGCGAGTGCAACCCTTAATGTCCAGAAACTTTGATAAATTTGGTTGGGTAGGAAAATCTTGCCGGAAAGTCCAGGAAAATCTTGCCGGTGAGCATATCCAGTTTTGTTAAACTCTAGTGGCATGCCGTCAAAGCCATAGCAGAAACACGAATTAGAACATATTCGTACTAGAACATTTATTAAAATTCACCGACGGTACACCGTCGTCAAAGGGGTCCCATGGTAAATTGAAACTTGATGTGTCACATCAAGCAAAATACCGGCATAGTGTGTTAGTGTGTGAACACTCTCTAGACCTCGTAAGGTTTACTCGGCATTCAAGTGAAGGAGGTTGAGCTGTCAGTGCACAAACATGGATCTTGAATTGGAGGAGCATTCGAAAGTTTTTCTTATTGTATGAACGAAAGTGTCATCTCTACTTGAGACAGAAAGTTATCACCATTCACAAAATCTGGTGGTATTACCACTGCCGCTCAATTCACTCGATTTCTTTCTGGTATAGGGTAACATATTGCAAAAGGTCTTCAACAACGGCACTCATCTTTGTCCTTTGGAGCGAACTCTCTCATAAACTTTATGGATAAGGATTCGTCATCAAGTGCCATGCAACCCTACTACAGAAGTCCACAATCTACCGAGCCAATCCTCCAAGGTGAAAGGCTGTAATATATCAAAATGTAATGGAATGTTATACAATTTAGTAGTTATTTATTTACAGTGAGCCAAAATCTTTTCAAGTAGAGGAATGATCACAGGGGAGAGGGAGAAGAGTGTCAAAGGGCGAGGAGTGCAGGAAAGAGGAGGGCGGGGGTGGTTAAGACTCCAAGACAATCCACTTCTTTGTTTGTGATACAATGATTCCTCTTGTCCACCGCCATTATCACATCTATATATGTGCACACAGTAGCAGAACTCAGAACCCTTGCTTGCTAAGTGTGCACGGAGCAATGTACACAAAAAGTCATGTTGTGTCAAGGTGACCATTTATCTCTATGCAAATGCACACCGATGCCAAGTCTAATCAGATCCTTTTGCAATCAGCTCAAGTCAGACCGTAACATAACTCAGTGAGGTTGACAGCACTGACGGATTTTGACAGGTGGAGGAGGAGGAGGAAAGAGAAAGCGGGATATCAGTGTGAATCTTCCTTGTGTTCTTGAGGTTTGTCGTGTAGGTGCAAGCATGATGAAGATGTTCTTTTCGATACAGCATGCAAAAATTTAATCATTTTAAATTGAAGGGAAAAAGAGATGAAACTTTAGCGGAGCCTAACGACCTTGCACGAGAATGAATTGATCGCATCAATCGGAGATAAGATGTGCGGGTATTGATGAATATCCTGATCTGCTCTGCTCTGCTTGTGGAGCCCAGGAGGCCCCATAGATGGATAGTTAAATCGAGCAGGCTAAGCCAAACATCATAGAAACTTGCTCAGATTTTGACAGATGCTTCTGACTTGGTTTTTGTTTGAAGTCCGTTTCGGAAGTGGATAAATTGCTAGTTTAAGAGGACAAAGTGCGAATCAGGTGAAACACCTGGTCTTTTTCTTGTGATGATTTTCGAGGAAGTGCAGGACATTCTGCCACCCCCGCTGCCAGGCAGCCTATACATGGGACTAGAGTGTGTAAAGATTAGGCGTGATTGATTGCAAGCTTGGCTGGATTATAAAACCTCCTTCGCAGACATCATGTGGGTGAAAAGTAGAGGCAATGTAGGATCTGATGGAATGCAGCAAGAGAGATAGACGAGAGAGAGAGAGAGAGAGAGAGAATTGTGCGCTTGTATGTGTGTGCTCTGGATCTGATAGATCTCGGTCCCACCGAGACAAACAGACAGACATGATTAGTCAGGGGGGTTTTAGTACTAGATCTATTGAATGGCCTCCCAGGCAGCGGCCCACCCTCACCACAAACCAATCATCCAGTAGGAAAGGAGCAAGTGCTGCGGGCTCGGGCTTGGGCGAGGTGAGCGTTGTGTTTATGCCCAAGGCAAAAAGGTGACAGAATCTCGAAAGAATCTCGAATGGATGGGAATGCCAGCAGAATTTAATCATAAGCTGCTCTTTTCTCCTCCGCTCTGCTCACGTATTCCAAACAAACGCCAAGCCCAAGTGTAGTCCTAGAGCACCAGACCAAGTCCCGGCCCGGCCCAGCCCGTCCGTGCCTTCCCCTGGCGGGTGATCCTTCCTTAGAGCAGCAAACCTCTGCAAGGGACTTCACTCTCTGTTTTCTAGTGTATGACTGGCCCACCCACCCACACAGCCCCGCGAGTCTCGAAAGCCTGTGAACCATCGGTGGCCCTACTGAAGCTCCTGGTTTGCGGTGACTTCGTACTCCTCTCGTTCAGCCCCTTTCATTTCTCTTTCAATTGCTAAATTCCCTTAAGCTTCGAAGTAGGCATGGGCGTGATCATTCTCTTCACGAAATGTAACCACAGGACACCCTCCCCATTTTGTTCGACGCTGCCATTTCTGAGGAAGTTGACGTAGAAGAGTTACACATGGCAGTTTTAAGTCCGCACGAGATTTACATTGTCGTAACGCGGGAACTTTAAAGCTCGACTACGGCTCCTCGTTGAGAGGATGGCGGACTGGGACTGCTCCGGGCCATGCCATTGCTGCCAGCCTCGGTCTTTCTTGCCTTGATTCCGTCGTTCGCTTGCGGGACGAAAGGGTACAAAATTAAGGTGTGCATCGCCTTTTGTCTCCTGGTAAGAAGATGCTTGTCTGGGTGTCTGTCTGTCTGTGTGTCTGTCATCATCCCTCAAAGCTGCATGCGAGTCTTGCGGTCCTACCGTAGGCCGCACTGGGACCTTTCATGGATCCCCACCATCGCTCCCTATCTTTCTTGCAAGACGGGCATTTCATCAGGGCGAGGTGGGTCTTTCTCCTTTGCTGCTGCTGCTGCGCAGAGAGAGTTTCACTTCTCTACCCTAGCCGTATCAAGAACGAGGCAGACAGTCACCTTGATAGCGCGGTGAGCAGGGGGTGGAGACTCAATGATTCCACAAGCTCTAAGCTGGCTCATGCCTCTGCCCATGCCCTCTACAAATCTGATTCGGGACAAGACAGAAACAAACACCAGCATCACGGATTCAGTCCGTCACCCAGCCCATCACTTCAAACCCTCTTGAGATCGGGCTTTTCGGGGTGATGTGAGAAATGACTATACATCTTTTCCTTCCAGGTTGTAATGTAATGGAAGGTGACCTACAATGTAGTGGATCGACAACAAAGCTGCGTCCTCGTCCCAACTACTAGCAGCAGCAGCACAGCCGCCGTCGTCGTCGTAGTCCGGTCGGGGAATTTGTGGCGTAAATTGGTCCCGGATCCGCATTTTACAAGAAACCGTAGACCTCTGAGTCCGAAACTCTGATGATCTTCGGATGATGATGCGCCGAGCGAAGCGAAGCACTTTACGAGGATTTCAAGACAGGAGGACGAGAACCTACATCTGCATGCACAAGCTCATAGATCTGAAATGTACAGACCATGATTGGTGCCGCTTTAGGGTCCCAACTCCTCATCTTGTGCATGTGAAGTGTTCTCGAAAGGCCGGGCATAGACCCGATCGCCATGGCTTCTTCATGCGCTCTCGAGACATGATGCCAACCCTTTTTCTTTCCGTGTCGGGCAAGGGCCCCACCGCTCCTTTGGGCAGTTTCATGCTCAGATGATTTAAATTCCTTCGTTAAATTGCTTGGTTTATTATTTCATTCTTTTGGGGGAACGGGAAAATGTGGAGTGACAGTATTCATGGATGGGCTCTCTCGGCATTGCAAACCTGGGTTCTAAAATGGAGAGAGTCAATGTATAGATTATAGAATTAGTTGCCACAGCCTTTTGTTGGCGAAATTTGCTACTCACCACCTAGCGTTCTCGTTTTTTTGTTGGCACAGCCCTTGAAACCCTCTCGGAGAAGCTTATAAAACCAATTCCGTAGCCTGATATATTCATCTAATACTAGTTTTATATGATTCAATGTTTAAGCATACCCTCTGCTTGCTTGAACAGTTAATCTCTTGTCCGACTACCAAGTTTCTCGTCTGAAGTAATACAGATGTGAGTTTACTGCATTTTATCTACCCTTGTAAGTATTTGTGTTCAAATAACTGATCTCTAACTTCTAAACAATTTTCTCCATTTCTTGCACTGTTGAGATAATGCACTAAACTATCATATAATGTATTCCCATGGATTCTCGGTCAGAACGAAAATAATGTTCTTAATTTGTTTACAGATAACGAAAATGAAGTGGAACATGTGATATCTACACAATTCTACAACTATTCTCTTTGCTAAGAAGCATGATTCTGCCCTAAAAGCCATCAAAACTCTGCTTTTTTACGCCTCTGCCTCACATGTGCCTCGTATACCATTTCGTATAGATTTCCCAGAAATATATCTGGAGGAAAATCTTTCTCCAGAATTGCATGAAGTATCATGATCATAAATTCAGGTGAGTATTTTCATTTAATTTCAAATTAGGCGGTGATAAGCAATCTACATTTTGAACCATTCGATAGAATCGAATTATCCAATTATGATGAAAATTTTCCCATTCACAAGACCTGGTCCTCTTGCGTGTAATTTTGTCTGAAAATCCTTTGGAAATAGTGCACTTCCTCTAGTAGAACTATAGCACCTATATTTCAATAATCTATAGACTAATAAAAATATACCTGAGTATGATCCATGAATATTTGAATGTGCGGATGTGTGATAAAACACTACTGCGATTTCCATATCTCACATGCCCTTGTTTAATACACTATTTTGGATCCAATTATATAAGAACATGACATTACATCATTATTTATGTTGGTAATACTTTTAATTTCTCACGTGTGATGTTGGAGTTTTGCAATCATTCGATAATCGTAATTTGGACTTTATTTCAAACTAGCGATGTTTTAGATTTATTTATTCAAAAAAAGGTAGTATCCTCAATCAGTGCTTAAAATATGTATCTTTTATTAACATTTTCATAGAAAATGAACCAAGTAATTTTCAAGGATTTTAAAAGAAATAGTCACAATTTTTTTTTAATATTCAAGACTTAATATAGATGTTAACAATATATTTACTTCATTGAAAACAGATAATGTGTTTCTTTAGAGCGTACATTGATACAAATATAATTCTATTATGTATAATACTTTCCAGATATGTGAACATAATATATTGAATTTTTTTATTATTGTGTTGAAAATAATTAAATCTAGAGAAGAATTTGAATACTCAAAATATCAGATATACATTAATGATTCAATATATAATCATTGATTGGATGTTTACAATGCTTCATAAATATGTAATGTACGCTGATGTACTTGCTAACTATGAAAACATTTTTTTTTGAATTACGGTGACAAAATGTCACATACAACTTTCAACATCTTATAGATTGTTCTACTTTTGTAATATTCATACATGATGAACTACAACATATGTATGAATAATGATGAGATTTTTTGTGAAAAGGTTCATTGCTTTCCAATGTACATACTTTGGATCTGAAAAGAACATGTACTTTTGTCCATAGCTAAACCAAATGTTAAATCCACTTCATACCATCACATACATAAGGCTATACACAATTTTGTCAAAGCAATTTGATGATATAGATCTTTTTCTTATAACATAAATTGTACATTGAGCTGCAAGAAAGTTTGAAGTGTGTTATCAAAGAAGAGTTATAATCTTCTTTGACACACTCTAAAGAAGTATAATATTTTTTAGAGTGTGTCATATTAAATTTATCAAACACAAGTTGAATAGCCTTGACTTGATTCAATCATAGTTTTTTGTTTCTTAAAAACTTATAATATACCATCACTAATAGATTCTTGGACGTATCAACAAACTTCATCTTAAATGAAGATTTAAATTGATTATTCATCTATTGACATCAAATTGATTTTTTTTTAAATCCACATTTCATCCACGTAAAGTACTGAAATAATGATTTTAAATATTACATTTTTTTTTATATATATACACATGGATCATAAACAAACCATAAAAATTCTTGTGCTTTTATGAATCCATCAAATCTTGCATTTAGTTTCAATCCATATAATGATTTCAACAATCTACATATTAACTTCAAATGAAATTTATTTTCTAAACCAATTAGTTATCTCATGTAGATTTAATTATTCAAAAATTCATAAAAAATGAAATAACTAAATTTATGTGATATTCAAATTGGAACATATTTTATACAAGTGAAAAATTTCATTGTGATTCATAATTTTCATTTGTGTAAAACCTCTACCGATCAACATGGCTTTAGAAACTTTTCTCTAATAATCTATTGGATTGTAGTTAAGTTTGTACATCTATTTATTTTCATTCAAAGTTTGATTTTTTTGAATGTTCACTAATTTATAGTTGTTATTATCCATCAACAATTAAATTTCAAGTTCTATTTTAATATTTAATTTAAGTTATTCACAAAAGTGTGAATAAACTTCAAAAGACAAATTTTTTTCTTCACGCAATGTCATCACAATTGTAATAAAATGTATTCAAAAATAAGCTAATTAAAAAATGAAACATAGATCTCAAGATAACTAATATCTAAAACGGTTAAAGTTTTGCTCAATAGATTATTTCAACAAGTATAATTACATAAGGTACCATTCTTATCATTTTTTTAACTCCTAGTGGATTGATGACATGTTGTATATATCTAACAAGTTTAAAAATTGCTGACGTCTTATCTTCAACTAACACACTCAATCTTCATTTCACAAACATACAAATTATTGAAGTATCATTGTCAACTAAATAAGTTACTTTTTTTCTAACTAAACACATAGATTACTAACATGATGATTATGAATAGTACACTGTCAAGCAATTTTATCTTCATCTTTATGAATCTCTACATTAGTTTTAACTAATTAATATTGTTTTGAAACCTACTTTTTAAAAAAAGGCAACTTCTTTGTTGCACAAAGAATCTAATTTTTAGATTATCAATGCATTGAATATCAAGTCCGATTGAATCAAATATCATAATCTATGATTCTTTCAATATAATTGATCTTTAATCAATTTTTTATTATTTTTGAATTCAAAATCCTCATAATGAATTAAAAATATGATGTTGATTGATTGGTGAATTCTTTTGATTGTGATGCATAATTTTGCAATCATGACACAAAACATACAAGATATCTTTTCATATATGATAAAAGTTTAAACTTGTATGACACTTCATTAACACATTTCAATATCATAAAACAAACAATGTCTAAAAAAATAAACTTTAATGTTTTTACAAGAGATAATTTTTTTGGAAATTATAAAACATGATACATTACTTGAAAAATCAAATCTTGGCAATGACCATCTACATGGTTTAATTTTTTTTTTGTGACTATAAACAAAATTCTCCTTGGCTTGACGTAGTATTATGTGAGTTTGCTTCAAAGAAATATTGACTGCAATTACTTGATAAAAAATTTATTTCTTTTCAGAAGCTTCATCAAACTTGATGAAGTTTCTTGGTTAGTATCGTACATGAGTTAAATTGAAATCACTTTTGTGATTGCATTAACAAAAAATATATTCAAATTTCACAAAAGTCAACAAAAATTTTCCACTCTTGTTGCTATAGAAATGTGAATGTGCTTAATATATCGTATATAGTACTATTGGCTATTTCCATTTGACTTCCAATTAGAATATGATAGACCATTAAAATTGCTAGTTTTTTTTTGAAAAAAAGTAAACCAATTTTTTCTTAACAAATTAGTGAAATGTGTAATTCTATCAATGATTAAAACTATTGTTTATTCATCATTCATAAAAGTAACTAGATATAAATGGGCAACTAGTGGTTGGCCTAATGTGAATAATCTTGCTTAATTTTTTCCTAACAAACACAGCTGAAAAATTTTAATAAAAAGATTTTTGATAATTCATATACAAAACCAATGATAATATATTCTCATTTTTTTGAAAAATAAAGAGGATTTTTATAAACCAAATGATTTTTGATAACTTGCATTGTTTTGTGAATAAGCTACATAATTTTGAACCCAAGTTTTCACATCTTCTTGTATTTTGTACCAATAGTACTTTAGTTGTATCTTGAACCAAAATTTTTAAGAAAATTTATTGTGCTTATTTTTTTAAATCTTACAGAATCAATATTCCTTGTTTGAAAA